AATTGATCTCTTGGTTGATAAAAGGAGTGGAGCATTTCCCCACTGCCTGCAGGACTGCAGCAAGAGCAGCACACACTTCCCATTACTGTCACAATCCATAAAGCCAGGAACAGTGAGCAGGGCTCCCTAAAGACCAGCTGGCTTGCCATGTTCAAGACTAGAATAACATTAACACCATTCATTATGTGTCAGCTTTTCAGCACATATTTTACTTTTTTTATGTGGATTTCTGCAGGCACTTTTCCCTGAGCATGTAGCAAATGAACTGCAGAAAAATTAACCACAGCTCACTGGAAAAAAAGCTTTAATTGCCTTTTTAGCTAGGTACCTACTCTAGCATCTTCCCAGATTGATTGAATCTGCAGTTCAAGGAGTGAGCTCATATCTTCCTTCAGACAAAGCTGCTCTTTCTGTACTGAATGCTGATGTTTAAGATTCAGTGTTTTGAAAATACTTTTAATTTTTTCCATCAAGTTTGTCAGTAAAAAAGTCAGATGCCAAGTGCTAGTTTTGCATTAACAGACTTAATCAGCCACACAGCAGGAATTAACTTCTTAGAAATTCAAGGATTAGGAACAATTGCTACTAAACCCATGCAAGGTACTTTCACGTTACTGAAGCCCCGCAGTGGACATCTTCCACAAACACTTTCCTGCTCCATGCTCCAAGATTAACAAATTGCTGAGATTTTAGACTGGTTTTTTGAATAAAAGCAAGTGAAATTGTTGACATGCACTTAATATAATAAAGAGAAATGAAGGTGGCTAGAACACCTGAAACAGGCTCAACCTTAATTACATCAGTTTTACCTTATGATTCAAGATCTCATTCATCCTTCTAGTAGCCTCTGTAGTATGAGACTCCGGGAAGTTTTTCTTGGGGACAACACCATACTTTTCTAAAGGAAAGTAATAATACTACAGATTAACCATCATCTAATTCCTATCTACATAATATTATAATATTATCTTCTAATAATTATCTACACAGTAGATGTTAATGCTTCTACCTATACCCATGTAAAAGCTACATATACTTGGGTTTTGTGCAGAGATTACAAGGGAAAGTCTCTTATTTAAAGGTTATGAGTATTCAAAGTTTACACCTTAATTTGTGACTGAATGTTGACCTCTGGTCTGTATTCCACAGGGTCCCCAGAAGTGGAATCCCTGAACTGTTCAGTATCATGTAATTTATAACTTTTAGGTGTTGAATTAAGTTGTGCTCTTTAAGAAGCTCTTCTCACCAGAAAAAGAAATTAATTGGAAATTAAGCCCCTGAATTACCTTTGAGAATTGGGTCTCTTACGAATTATTCCGTGTATTTTATTTAAGGTTAAGTGACTGACTTCCCAGACTCTTTTCTTCCTCAACATTTATAAGACACCAGCAGCAGCTCAACTCCTTCCCATACTATGGCACCAGTCAAATACTGCACTAGCTAATAAGGCTCTGGGTGTAACAGCAGCATCCAAAACCTCCTCTGCCCTGATTAAATATTTGTAACAACTGGATGGGGAAAAAAAGTAACCTCCAGGCTTCAAAGAAACAAATTCCTTTTGTGATTCTAAACTTACATTATTGGCTTGTTGATTTACAGAGTGTCACATTGTTTCATAATACAAAAGCAAACCCTAGTGTAATTTAGACACAGAGAAGTATCTCCTTAATCTGTGTATGAAAGATCTCACTTCAGCTGGATCTTTGTAAGACCAGCACTGCCACATTCCACATCATTTCCCTCACTGATCTTTACACCGCCTATCTTCAGACTTCAGCCCTAAGTAGTTTTGCTTCTGCCTTGTAGACACACCCTAGTCTAGCAATGGGTTTTTTCCTTACCATATGCCCTAAGAATTGAATACATGGGTATAAATAACCAATGTTGAGTTGATGACTGAAGTAAAGGGGATTGAACCTTTTTACTGAACACAAAGTCCAGGATATCTCATTACTTCTGTTGATCTTCTGAGCTTCTGTTGTCTACAGCAATATGCAAGAGTTAAGACCCCACACAAGGGATTAAAAAAGGTAGTGGTTACGGCATCACGCTCCTCAGCAAACCCCCAAGTCTCAAACTGAATTATTTCTTCTCTTTCACTCTCACTTCTCAAACCAGCCTGCCATTTCAAGAAGGGACCAATGCTCTTACCAATAATATTAACCAACATATCCCACTGTCCACCATCATTCGTGGGATTGGTGAGCAGGAACTGCACCAGTCTGCCTCCCACAGGCTCATTCTGCTGAGCTGTTTCCACAAAGGCATTCAAAAAGTAGTAACAACGTTCCACCTGAAATGGATGGGGAAAAATACTTTTAAGTCTGGCACATTATGCATTCATTCCTGAGTATTCAGTTCTTCAGAAGTCCTACCTAGATCATCCACCTTATTTTCCATCTAACATTCCAGGGCTTATAGTATAAACTTCTTTCTGTTAAGGAGTTAGCACAGAACTTGAGCGTAGGGAAATAGAAAATGCAAAACATCGGGTTTTCTGTGAAGCATGGCCCAAACTAGTCCTAGAATTTCTCTAGTTCCTTTAGGGGAAACAAGCAGACACAGCTCAGAGCAGGGCACAGGTGCCCAGGGAAGCTGTGGCTGCCCCATCCCTGGCAGTGTTCAAGGCCAAGTTGGACACAGGGGCTTGGAGCAAGCTGCTTTAGTGGAAGGTGTCCCTGCCCACAGCAGGGGTTGGAAAAGGGTGAGCTTTAAGGTTCTTTCCAATCAAAACCATTCTAGGATTCTATGATTAACATGTGGATAGCTTTCTTCTCAGGCTGGAAATCCCACTTTGCTTGACTACTGCTTAAAATACTGATTTAAGTAACTTCTGACGGTTCTTCTCATGATTTCCACCTGTAATGTTAAAATAGTCCAGCCTAAAAGAAATCCTGTCCCAGTACCCACACCCAAACACACAAGCTGTCCTAGCATAACCTGCAGCCTGTGCTACCATACCTTATCCCAGAAAAAGAGATAGGATTGGCTGAACTCAAACTCTTCAATGTTGTATTTCTTCATGAAAGGAAGGCGCATTGCATTGAGACACGAGAAAATCCAACATCTCCCTGAGAGATCAAAGGAACAAGGATTAAACTGGAATGTCTGCACTCCAGAGCTCTGTAACGTTCTTGCTTTAAACACAAGATTCATGACACAGCTTTGCCGCAAGGCTTTGGCCAGGATGACAAAATACCAAACAGCTTGTAAGAAGTTCAGAGCCCTTTTACTGCAAACGCAGTAAAAATCAACTGATTTTATCCTGCACTATGCAGAAGGGAAGAGAGGCAAGCACTGAGTCTGGAGACTGTTACTAACCCAAGAGGATGCTGCAGGGATACAGCTTTGCCTCAGAGCCAATGAAGTGATGTCAGAGGAAGCCACCACTCATCCCCCGACCACCACAGCCGCTAAGAGAGAGCGCCCCGCTCCCCGAGGACAACAAACCTCGTCCCGGAGCCCCTTACCGGAGTTCTTCTGGTTGGTGACGGGCTTGCCCTCGGCGGGCACGGCGTGCTGGAAGACCTGCACCGTGTCCTGCACCACCTGCCGCTGCAGGCACACCTCCAGCGGGTCGCTGCAGGTCGCCACGTTCTGGGCCAGCAGGAACTGCGGCTCGGCCCGCAGCCGCCGGGTGAAGGCGGCGGCCTTCTCCGTGCTGAGCCCTGCGGGACGAGGAGGAACAACCGTCACCACCGGTAACACACACACACACCCCCCCCAAGCCACCCCATCGCTCAGGTAACGGGGTACACCCCCCCCCCGCTGCCATGGCAACAGGACCCCCTCACGGGTAGCACCCCCCGCCCGTTGCCACGGTAACGGGTCCCCCGCCCTCACCGCGAGCGTTCATGGCACAGGCGGCGCGAGCTCCCGCACGCAAACGGCCGCTCCCCGTCCGGGCCCACCGCCGGTGGCGCGCGCCGAGGCGGAAGCGGTTCTTATAGCGCCGGCACCGGAAGCCGGAAGAGGGGGGCCCGCACGGCACCGGCCGCGGGTGGGAGGGGGCAGCTCGGCGCGGGGGCGGACGGCGCGCAGCAAGGGACAAGCTTGGGGCGGTTGCGCGCGTCGCGGCGGTGGGGGCTCCGCACGCCCCTCGCTCCGCCCTCGGCGCTAGAACCTTCCTGAGGCGGCGGGGGGTGAGGTGGTCCTGCGGCTCCACGGGGACCCCGGTATCGGAGGCTCACCCAGCCCGCTGCCCCCCCCCCTCCCCGGTCTCAGCCCCTGATGTGGGCTGAACGCTGCCGGCCGAGGGGAGGCCCGGCGCATGGAGCGCTGGTGTTGCACGGTGCTTGTGAACGTTAGGCAAGGACGCGCGCCAGGTCACGCTTCCTGTTGAGTAACAGCCCTGCTCCTCCGAGGAGGGCGTCTGCACATCGCAGGCTGGGGTTCATTTACAGCACACGGAGTTTATTTACAGTAAGGCACCATTCCGACATGCGGTGAGGCCTGGAAAGCTTGCCAGGACCTTGAGGAACGCGCTGGAGTGGCGTTACCGCAGAGCAGAGGGATGGAGAGCATTCACACTGGAATTCCCACTGTGTTCCTGAGTGCCCAGCCCCTGAGCTCCACGCAGCACCCAGGGAGACACAAGGTGTGACAGTACCAGGCGGCTTTCCCCTTGGCCAGAAGGAGCTGAGATGCCCACGGGATTCCCAGGAAGGGGCAGCAAGCTGGGTGGCTGCCACCTCTAACACATTATGGTGCTGTAGGACAGGGACAAGAAAGCAGCTGCCAGGTCAACACCTCGCTTTATCTGTGTGCCATCAGCAGCATTGTCCGTGGCAGCGCACTGTGGATTCCTCAGTAGACCGATGCACAACCCGCATGCTTGACTGCGCGTGTGTACTTTGTAGGAGTAAGTGTGGAAGGCAGGACCTGGCAGCAGCTCCAGCAGTGCAGCCCCCATGGCACTGCTCTAAGCAGTAGGTTAGACTGAACAGATGCAAAGAACCAATTACATTTTGAAAAGATCATATAAACTTGACCCTAAAAAGCTTGTTTCAGTGCTTTATCTCAACATCTCGCTCAAGGGCTTAATTCCAGCAGCAAAAATTACGATTTCTTGGTGTGCACAGGATCCCTGTGGTCTTCACCTGCAGCAAAACGGAAAGAACAAAGGAAAAATCACCTACAGGGGAAAAAAACCCACGTGAGTTGTATTTACCTGGGCTGGGTTCAGCTCCAGGAAGCACACTGAGTGCTCTTCTGGTTTAAGCCTTAAGACAAGGCTTAAAGAAGAGGGTTCATTTGGAAGCTGCGTGAACAAGCAAATACTCACAGAGCTGTTTCACTTGATGTCTTGAAGCACTGGAAATAAAGGAGCAGACTCATTATCTTTTGTGTTTCCTGACCATAGGGATATTTAGATTAATGTATTACGAGTGCATAATGCCCTCCACCTCAAAATACCTACTATCTGATTACCTACTGCTAATTCTAAAGCAGGAGGTTGTATGTAGAGTTCTTTAACCGTGGAAAGCAGCACAACAAAGTAGAATGGAAAAGGCAGAAGAAGACAGGGCATTGCCACAAAACAATACTGGTTTTTCCTAATAAATTAGGGCTTTCCATACCTTACAAATTTTATCTTTTTGAGCCACAATTCCAAAAAGTATCGTGAGTGAAACCACCACAGCAGCAGCAATAATGGCCTCCATGGGGAAAACGGGCTGTTTGTCTGTCAGGAGAGAGGAGGTTGAATATGTGATCGATCGGTACAGTCACATAAAGCAGGACATTCCACAGAACTGCAGGCAGACTTATTTCTCCTCCTGTGGCGGTCACTGCTGATTTGAAGTGTTGCTCCGTGCTGTCTGCAGTCTGAATGTGTGCATTAATCCTCTGGAAAGAAGGGAGCCAAGTCTGGTTTAGGAACTGAAGGAAGAATGGAAATGTTGGTCCCTGAAGAAGAAGGAGGTCCCCAGAGTGCTCTTACACATGTAATAAGGCTGCCTAGAAGTGTCCCTGACACAACTGGCGTTGCTTTCCTCCCTGATCTGAGAGTGCAGAAGTGAGGGGGGCCTGGACAGCTGGTGGACAATGGATGCCTGAGACCGGAGCATCCAGCCCCAGCAAGGCTTCCACCACCCAGTTGTTCACAGAGCTACAGTCGCTTATGGAGGACAGCTTTTCTCACCTTAAGCAACTCTTTTGGCATGACAGAACACGATGGTCAGGGTAAGATTTCAAGCCCAGGTTGGACGAGGCCTTGGGTGATATGTCTTAGTGTGAGGTGACCCTGCCCATGGCAGGGGGGTTTGAACTTGATGATCCTAAGGTCCTTTCCAACCCTAACTATTCTATGACTCTACGAAGATGCTTCAAGTAAGACCTAAGGTGCTTTAAGCCACAGTTGAATGTACCCTGTCAGTGTGGGAAGTGAGAGTGGGATGACTCTGCCTCAGGTCACACTTGCCACACGCCTTGGAATAACAGGTAGGGCAGGAAAGGCCCTTCCTGGTGCTGTAGTCTCAGGTGCAGGTGCAAGGAGAGCTCCTTGCTGTTGCTGTGCCCTCAGAAGCCTACTGCTTACTCCATTTCACTTACATTTCCTAATATAAATGTATTGCTATCATTGTAAAATAGAATGGAGAGTTACTTGTAAAGCTAATTGTTTGGCGGCAGCCGTGTTACCTTCAACTATGAGGTGGAAATCCTTTCTCCACTCGCTGAAAGGATAGCTCATCACACAGGTGTAGGTCCCGTTGTCAGACATCTGCACTTGTTTGATGGAGAGCTGAAAGACCTCACTGGTCTGGTGGATCTGGTAACGGTCCTTCTGCAGGGTCAGGGTGGTGGTGTTCTTGTACCAAGCTGCATGGGCCTGAGGGTTGGATTTGGAGTTGCAGGACAGAGTAACATCTTTGTCTTCTTCAGTGTGGACGGACTCTTCTCCAGACAGGTGGGGAGGAACTGCTCAGAGTAATGCAGTACAACAGGTCATTAATAAAGCTGCTCATCATGGAACACAACAGAAGTGCCTTTACACATCCTGTGTACACCTTGCTCAGTGGTAGAACACAGCACAGTTGAGCAGCTTTTCCTGATTCCCGGCAATCAGCAGGTCACTCCCATAACTCCTCTGCCCTGACTTGTATCCTTGGGAAATAATCTAGGTGGAGGCAGGGACATATCCAGGACATCTTCTTACTTAAGGGCCCACCCACTCCCTATAAAAGAGGCATTAGATCAGGTCATGAACACCAAGGTGGAAAGGGAGTGTCTTATCACATGAGCTATCTCCTCCTAGATGCATTTTTTCTTGGTGAAGACAGCATACAAGGGTGCAAAATACCCACCTTCACCTAGTGCCCAGACACCGAGGTGCTTGGACCTTGATTTCATCCCACCCCTGCCATTCTGCACACATATCCACTGCTACGACTCACACTGGACATCCAGGATCACAGACACCTGCACAGACGTGTCCCGTGCCAGCTTGCACGTGAAGGTGACTCCGTTGTCGGACTCAGTGACTGGGGATATGCAGATGTTACTGATGTTCACTTTATTCCCATCTTTCAGATCCACTTGCCCATCTCCTCGGTACCAGAGCAGCTCCTCAGCCTCGCTGCTGTTCTGCACCAGGCAGGAGAGGGAGACGGCAGGGCCGGGTGATGTAAGCAGGGAGAAGTCAGCATTGTGGTTATTTACTGACAGCTCCAGACCTGCAAAAGAAGGAGAATGTGGGCACTGGGTATCCTGAGCTGTTCCCTTCCCACAGAAGCTGCCCTGCTGCCTTCTTCAGGCCTTGATCTTGCGGAGGGACTGAGAGTTTCAGCCTCAACCTAACAGCTCTTTTCAGGTGGGACTTCAGTTTTGGAGACAAGTCCCATCTCAAAGCCCCCTTCGCACTCGAAGTCAGGCTTTTGCAACTGGCTGTGAGAACACCAAAGCCTGACCTGTAGTAACAAAACATCTCAAACCCATCAGTGACCGTGTAACACACAGCAAGAGATCGTTCCACCAGTCGTGCTCACCCTCTTGCTGCCGATCACCATCAAGGCATACCTGTGTCCTCAGGTTTTGTGCTCATGGTTTGAGAAAAGTGCTGGTTTTTGGTTGGAGCTGAATGGGCTTGAGAGTATAAATGAGTTAATCAGCCCCTTGGCCATATCCTGGCCAGTCTGAGTCTGGAAATTGAAGCGTTGCAGTTTGTCTAAAGGACAAACCTCAGGACATGCTAAATAAAGAACCAATATGGGGAAGAAATGTTTCTAATGGCCTGAATCTTGCTACTGTAGCCTGGGTCATAGATGAAGGAACTAAAAATACAGCTCAGAATATGAAGGCACCATAGTCTTGTGAATGTAAAACAGTCTGGAGCTCCCTGTCCCTTCCCTGATGTTGCCAGCTGGCCAGAGCTACCACACTTCTCCCTGCTTAGAGCAGGTTTGGGAACGGTGTCCTCCTCATCCCTGTGCAGCTGCTGCAATGGGAAACGCTGAAGCTTCCCCATTCCCTTCTCTGCTACTCTCAAAATCAGGGACCAGTTTCCAGGCAGTCCTCTGGGGATGACCTCCAGAACATCTGCTTTCTGGGCTGCTGGTGTGGCCCACCACCCTGGGCACTGCCCAGCCCAGGAGGGATTTTTTCCATTGCTTACCTGTGGCTACACACACCAAAAGGCAAACAGCAAGGAGAGGAACCTCATAGGGGACTGCGAGGCTGCTCCTCTGCACCATCTCAGAGGGGTGTCTGTGGAGAGAGGTTAGTTCCTTGCTGCCATCGGCCACCCTGGGGAGAGCCCTCCCAGATGGGTACAGGATCACAAGGGAACAAACTAAGTTGGTTTATTGCAGGGATTTCTCCAGCTCAGAGCAGAATCAAGGGGGTTTTCCATCTCTAATCTCTATTGTGTGAGTTCATTGCCTCCAATCACCTGTCTACCAAGAGGAACCCATCTTCAGTCGTGCAGCACTGGACTTACCTAGGGAAGAGTCTCTGGAGAAGCTGCTTCTGCCAAGAAATGCAAAGCTCCTTTCCCTCCTTATTTATAAGGTTTCAATTTTAGTATTTTATGGTAGCTTAGTAAGAAGTGAGTCCATAAAATGGGTTCAAGGCCTCGTTCAGTCCGTGGGTTTCTGAGCTCTCAGAACAATGAAGAAAAGTATTTGCTGGGCTCTGCTGGGTGTTTTATGAGACTTGCCAAGGCAATGAGTAACTAATGAGAGTTTCTGAATTGGCTGTAAAGACCTTCAGCCAAAAAGAATACCTTTTCCCTCTCAGCTTTCTGGGCTTTCATGACATGTTTCAAGACATAGGAAGTTTATCCTGGATTCCCCTAGAGCAGGAGCAGACTCTGATTTGCTCCTCTCTGATTTGCCCTGAAGCTTTGTTGCCATGTCCTGCTTTCCCTGAAAATGAGAAAATGCACTGATTCAGACTTTGAACTGAAGCTACTGCCTTGTAGCATGCTGGCAGAGGAGAGAGCAGAGCCACTGTCCTGCTCACTGATGTGTGCCTGCTCGCATCAGTGCCTTCAGCAGGATGACAGTGATGCGGTTGCAAAGGATGGGGTTCTTGCAGCCTCCAGAACATGTTCTCACCGTTGGCAGTGTCCCCACAGGCGCAGGGCATGTCACTCCTCAGGAGCTGGCTCAGCAGAGCCATGAAGAGCATTTCACAAGCAGCAGGAGCCTGGAACACGTCCTCAGCATTTTCTCTGCATGCAGACTAAGTGGCCCCGTTCCTTGGCTATTGTATGCAGAGCATAGGAGCACACACCACTGTTTAGCTGTGGGGCTGTTGCAAACGTAGGGCACCTTTGAGTGTTTCTTAATACAACTTTTTTTCTGTGTTCATTGGTTTCTTTAAAAGGGAATCATTTTCAGGTTAAAAATATATGTGTCCAAAAGTCCCTTAAAGAGACAGTGTTCAGGCTGAAAACTGCTGTTTCAGAGCTCAGTGTCCAGCCTTTAACTTGCTCTTTATCTTCAAACTCAAATTAAGACACTTTTAGCTTAATTCATCACTTTTTGGAAGTTGTATGTCCTCTCATAGCATTGGATTGAGTGTTGGCTTATGGTTCAGTATGAACTTCAATCAAAGTGCTCTTCCGAGGAGTAAAGTGACATTTGTGGTTTGGTATTAAGCTGAGTTGAAATAGAGAGGGATGCCAAAGTGGTCATGGCGGGACCAGGAGAAGAAGGAGGTGTTTAAAGTGAGAATGTAAAGGAAGAAAGAATGGAGTTTTGGGGTATTTTTTTGGTCTAGAAATGAGGGTGAAAGAAAAGGTTGTTGGGCAAGAGCTGTTCTGTGGTGGGTTTGTCATGATGGATGGCACAGCAACAAGTGGGAGCTGGGGAAAGCTCTGTGCCAGGTTTGCAGCAGGTCTGTGGTGGGTGAGCTCAGGTTTATGTTCCCTAAATGAAGGCATTGCAGTGTTCTGTTTTGCAGTGGGCTCTGAGACATGCTGAAGGAAGAGGGACTAGAACAGCAACGTGTTACTTGGCCAGAGGCACTCAAAGGCAGCATTTTTAACAGGTAACAATTGCTTTCGCAATGACTTTTTACACTTCTCTTTTTATACGGGGTGTAATTACCTTGTGGGTGTTAATTACTGAGGTCTGAGTTCTGTGGGGTGCATTCTCCACCTTTCCATTACGTTTAGGAGGGATGTAAACCTCATGCTCCAGAATGTGAAGCAGCCGTTAGTGACTCAGAGTGGGAGGAACCTCTTCAGTGAGGCACATCCTCCATAACTCTCCATGCAAAGGATCCAGCCTTCTCATTTGAGGTATTTGGATCAGGCACTGTCAAGGCAGGATTAGACAGACTAGAGCCAGAGTAATCCACTGCTCATCATCCTTATGGCAACACCAGCCCAACAAACCCAAAGGGAATTAATTAATAAACACCAGTCTATTCCTGGGTGTAATCCAAGCCTTGGAAACCTGAGAAGAGAAGATTTAGAACATGATAGAGATTGGGCAGAAGTTTTTTTTCCACTGGGTGTCTTATCCTCCAGCTCCAGACTTCACAGTGCTTTGGGTTCCACTTGGTTGTCCTGAGTGCCTGCAGAACGGGGCTAACAACTCATAATCCTCTGCATTTCCACTGGCAGATGAGCACTCGATTTATACCCAGCAGCGTTGTGAGGGCTGAAGGTTGCTCCTGGAGCTGGGAGCATAGCAGGATCTGTGCAGGATGTGTGCAGATGTGTGGTAAATCTGTCAAGCAGACAATGCCTGTACCATGGCTGTAACTCCACTCCAGAAACACTGTTCCGTCAACAGTGCCTGAAGCTCTGCTCAAAGACTGCTCCTATCTTCCTACTCAGTGCGGTTCCGTGCTCCTAATCCCTTTTTAATATGCGGTGCTACATATTTTGCAACACTTCCATTGTTGGAGAATGACTGTAATACCCAAACCTACTGCCTCTGCTTGCCAGGCTATCAGGGGATGCTCCTGCATCTTACTCAGCACTCCTGTTCCCTCCCATGAAACCCATTTTTCCCAAGTGTCAGGATGATGGAGATGTGATGTGTCCTCATTTCTCTGATTCCCAGCCTATACCTCACATGTTTTCCACTGTTGAGGTGGACACATTTTGTTAATAATTCTACTTTCTGATTGTCCTTATGTAAAAGGTCCCACTCTCCATCACTGAATGCGCAGGAATGATACGTGATCTTTAGTCTGTTTATTATGTGTAAGATTAGCAAAAGCAGCACCAAAGCAGTGAATGTTTTGAAATTATTTCGAGGGCGTTAAAGATTCAAATGAAAAGTGGGCATTGATGAAGAAACGGCTCCCGAGATCAATCAAGACGAAGAGAAGCCTTCGGGAAGGTGAAGCGCTGGGCACTATTGCCATCTACTGGAGAGACACCCACAAGAGCTGGCACCCAGAGACCAGTGTCTGGGAGGGAGGAAAATCACCTCCTGGGTGAGATCCCTCTGACCACCATGGCGGAAGCTCAGAGGCAGCAAACCCTGCAGAAGCCCCTAAAGCAGTGTCACACTCACGGACAGCTTTGCCCAGACCTGTGTGTTCAGGGGAGGATGTTTCTGAGGTGGGAATTCCCTTTGTGTGAGTGCTGTGAGACGTCCCATGCAGAGTCCATGCTCCTGGTGATGCAAGAAGAAACCCTGTCCTGGGCTTTTACTGCTACTGCTCTGCTCATATGTCTTTTCCAGAAGTGTGATTGGGTTTAGAGAACCTCAGTCATCACTTTCAACAATTGCTCCTGAATCTTTTAAACCCCTCTTTTGGAAGTGAGTGCAAAGAAATGGAACCGTGTCCCAGGAGGTCAAGTCTAACCTTTAATGAGAGCATTGAGGCACTTGCCAGTGTTCCCTGTGCTGTGAAGAAAGCAGCCAAGGGTCTGTAGCAGGGCTCAGGGCAGTGAATGAAAGCCCCAGCAAACTGCTGCAGAGCAGAAGGTGCAGCTGCCTGGTGCCAGCAGTCAGCACTGATCCCCTTCTTCCCTGGCTGCTCTGGGTTACCTCCAGCACTGCAATCACCAATGTTGACTTAGAAGACTGAAGGTAATACCCTAATGTGGCTGTTGCTGTCCTACTCTGAGAAATAATGGTGCCAAATAAAGGAAATGTGAAAGGAACCTGGCATTAAATTAGCAAGAGCGGTCTCCTGCAGGAGATAAAAGTGACTCATCTGTATTAAACTCCACTTAAATGTTGGCACTTGTAGTTTCCCATCTCAGAAGGCCTGGTTAGTGGCTTCCAGCTTTCACACCTAGCAGTGCTCAGGGAAATGAATACCATCAGTCTTTGCACCATCCACTGCTGAAACTCCATTTTCTACCTGATGGAACCAACTTGTGTCCTGCCTGAGCTGTGGGGTTAAACTGCATCATAGCAGTGATAATGTGTCAGGTTCCCATGACTTGGTTCTTTTCCTGGACAGAAAACGTGTCTCTACTGCTGATGGGTTGGATTTCAAGGGGGTTTTGTTTCCTCTGGGAAACAAAGATGGGTGAGGATGATGCTAAACTGGGTGCCTGTTTCTTGCCCAGTTTAGGTGCTCTCTGATGGCCAGCACAGGACATTCCCTAGCAGCATTCCAAGATGTGCTACTTTTTCAAGTCTCTGTTCTGCTGCGGCCTGGACCTCAGATATTTTTGTCTACCTAGGAACTTTCATCACCAGTGGGATTTCTTGGAAATGCTCTGCTGGAAAACCAAGTGCTGATTTGATCTTGTGAAGTGCTGCCAAACAATATTAGCAGCTTTAACCTCCCTGCTGTGGCATCATCCGTCATTCCCTCTGCAAGGAATCTGCGGAGACAGAGCTGCTCCATCTTTCCAGTTCGTGGGGAACCATTTGCTGCCAGTCTTTAGGAGGAAACCACACTCTTCCTCCATGGCTGGAACAACTTCAGAGTGTCTTAAGGCAAAAGCCGCAGCCCCTGGATAACCACCTTCTCGGGTGCCAGGGTTGCAGATCTTGGCAAGCACGAGCACAGCATTGACCTGAGGAAGAGAAGGAGGAGAAGGAGAAAAAAGGAGGAGGAGAAAAAGAAGAAGGAGGAGGCAGTTTCTTGCAGGTGGGTCCCTATGCTGCAGAGCTGCTCACCCAGGGACCTGGAAGGCAGAGCTGTTTTAGGTTGGCCCAAGGAAATGGGAAGGTTTTGTTGTTACTGGCTGCTGAGAAAATGAGTGGGTGACTCACTAGCCTTCAGCCCCATGCTGCTTTTACAATTGGTTTGTTGAATTTCTAGACAATTGGGCTTTTATCAGCTAAAAAGGAAAATAAGCTCAGTTACTCTCTGTAAATCCAGAGCAATTTATTTGTAGACTGGGGACTTAAAGCTATGTAACGGTGATCACTTTTGCGACAGCCAAATTCCCTCTTGTCATTTCTTCTTCCCTTTTGGATTAAGAACATCCTGATGGCTGAGGTCTTTTGGCTTTTCCGGTTTAATTAAATGGATAATCCCTGTTCCTTGCTTCTCCCTCCCTTAATGACTCTGCAGCACAGATGAGCCCGAAGAAAGAGAAGCCAATTTACTCTCCTTTTCTTCAGCTCCCTTTTGAGCTGTACCACGCTTGGCTTACACTGGGGTTTGCATCATCTGATGTCTCACGCAAAGGATTCTGGAATGCAAAGAGGTGAAAGGCTCATACCACCGAGGGTTGCCCTCAAAATCAGTTTTATGTGTTAGACCTTGTGTCTCCACAGGAAATGCCGGAGCTGGGAAGCAGATGTGAGCATGAGACACCACTGAGAAGTTAAACAGGAGTCGATGGGAATTTGCTCTTGGAGATGGACACTTTGACATTTTATGGACTGCAACACGGTTTTTGCAGAGTAAGCTGTTCTGCTTGTTATTCCTTATCATCCCGCCTGCCCCAAAAAGGAACTGGCAAAGATCTGAATGGAGGAAACCCCAAGTACTATTTCCACATCTCCTCAGGCGCACAGTCCTGCAGTAGCTTGCAGTACAGCAACGTGCAGCACAGACATCAAATGGTGTGACAAAGTTTCTACTCCCCTGGAGGTCCCGCCTGAGCTGGTGGCAGAGGGCAGACACCAGGAGTGCTGGAACTTGTTCCACTGTACGCAGTTACTTGGTCTTGGGTTATTATTGGTATCTGCTGCACCAGTGCACAGGCTCCGTGGGCCCCGGCCCTGGGCGGCTTTCGGAAGGGGAAATGCTGAGCTCTTTTCCGGGGAGAGGAGGAAATTCCCCTCTCCTGGAGATGAAGCCGCTCCCGTTGGCCTCCGCTCGCCCCCAGCGCCGTGCGCGTCCCGCCCCGCTGCGACCGGGACCAGGGCCGGGGCAG